CAAACTGCTAAACATGCTTAAAATAGGGCTGTCCAGTCCTGGTCCTGGGGGGTCAGTGTGTGTGCAGGGTGTCCAGTCCTGGTCCTGTCGGGACAGTGTGTGTGTGCAGGGTGTCCAGTCCTGGTCCTGGGGGGTCGGTGTGTGTGCAGGGTGTCCAGCCCTGGTCCTGGGGGGTCAGTCTAGGTCTTGGGGGGTCGGTATGCCTGCAGGGATGTCCAGTCTTGGTCCTGTAGGGTCAGTGTGCAAGCAGGGATGTCCAGTTACTGATTTAACTTTCCTCCAGCCTGCCAGAGACAAGCAGGTGGGGTCAGTGGCAGGATAAAGGACCACTCTGTGGGGATGGGGAGTTGGGGGACACTTCCTTGTTAACAGGACAGCAGCGTGACCCGAGGACTGCAGTAGGTACCCCTCCCTAAATGCCCAGGTGTAAACAAGGGACCCCAGATTTACACAGTACACACAGTAAGAATTCCTCAAACTGACTAGACAGAGGGATGCATTCAACAGCGCCAATTCCAGGACACTTCGATAAAGAGGCTGCTGTTAAAGAAGAAACGTCGTATTTTCCTACTGATTGGAAAATCAGATGAAACTCCAAAGCCGGTACAGAGAGCGTCCCAAACGTACAGTGTAAAACAGGCGATAATCTGTGACACCTGAATTAACAATCCATAACTGTTTTGTTTTGTCTTTCACTGTTAACTGTTATAGACGATGGCTTTGTACTTGAAACAGTTCTTGTTGGTTGGTTTTAGTTCCGCTGACGGTGGCCAAGTAATTTAAAGAACCTCAGAGGTTCTTTTCAAGTGCATCAATAAATGCTATAATGTTACTCCTGTTACCATGGTATTACTGGAATACTTCAAAATATTTATTATGTTATTTCTGATATTCTCGGAAGTTTGTTTTAACCACGACCACAATATTCCTTTGGTCCCTATGTTTTATCCAAGAAGTGGGAATGTGACTCGAGACTGTGGATTTGCTGTCTCATAATGACACTAGCCAAGGGAGACGGCTTCCCCGACAATTACCCTGAGTTTAAAATACAAATCAAAATATCAGCCTCGTCTCGGACGCCCATCCCGTTCCCCGTCTCTCACCCCGGTGCTGACTTCCCGAGAGGCCCAATCCGGTACCAGGTCATTGCTGTAAGAAAGCTGCTGAGCTCCGATCGTTGCTACAGTCGCCGCCATTTTGCTCCGCCTTGCGCAGCTCCGCGCTTTGTGAATAACCGGCTCGCGATGAAACAGGCCGTAACCCTGCTCCGTTTGAAGGTGTTCCCCTGTACGCAAATAGCGCAGGAAAAAGAGGGAGGGCGCCGAGAGTCACGTGCTCAACACACACAAAAGGCGTGCGG